TCTCTCTCTCTCTCTCTCTCTCTCTCTCTCTCTCTCTCTCTCTCTCTCTCTCTCTCTCTCTCTCTCTCTCTCTTGTCGTTGTCTTCTTGCAGGTATGCACGGCGACGATCTCCTCCGCAGTGCAGCTATGGCGGACTTCGTCTTCAGCGGCGGCACACTTCAGCTATGGCGCCCTACCTGGCGCGCGTCTCTGACCTGCGACAACGGCGATGGCGCATGGGATAGCGCAGCAAACTGGCAACAAGCACCCACTCAAAACTCAGAGATATGGTAACCTAGAACACAGTTCAGATACACGCTCACCTCAGATGACTACGGCGCATCAACACCTGTACAACCCTTTGTTCATCACTGTACTCAACTCCCCTGTTCACACACACTCAACTCAAGATCACCCTGGATATCCCACACGCGACACACTGTACACACACCCACACACACGCTACACTCTTCTCCCAGCTATGGCCGCTACTACCTCTATTGCTATGGCTAAACTCTTCTTCGGCCCACTTCGTCTTCGGGCATACTGCAGACCACCTCGCATAAGCCGATGTGGCAGCGCTTCCACATGGCTTACGCAGGAATGAATGAATGGCTGGTCGCTGCCTCTTGATTTATGCTTCTGTAGCTCATTGGTCTGCCCCTTTTCCATGCCCTGAGTGCACACAGTCCCACACGGTACTTGCTTGACCGGACCTGACTGACTGGGACTGATACCGCTGACTGCATGGGGACGCATTGCCAACTCACCGCAGTCGCACTGCCGACGTACTGCAGTTGGCCCCACCACTTGCCCACTTGCCTCTGTCTAAACGTGAGCAAGCTTCGAAAGGCCACTTCCGGACCTTCCGGAAGTTCGTAGACTTGGCCTTTCGGTACCGTAGCAGATACGACCTTGACCTTTCAGGACTGTAGCAGCTACGACTTTGACCCTTCAGAGGAGCTACACCTACGACTCCTAGGACCTGCTAAGACCTACAAATGACAGGTCTCCAGATCGAACCCGTACTGCTAGGACCTGCTACTGCTTACAGGTGAATACCGTTTCACTGTGCACAGCAATCAACCGGTCAGCCAACCCAATCAAGAGTTATTTTATGTCGCAGCAGGATGGCAGAACCAAGAATTATCTAATGCCACACCAGGACAACGACTCAAGAATTATATTTAGCGTTGCAGCAGGGTGACAGGCTGACAGCTGAATCAAGAATTATTTAACATCAGAGAAGGACAACTTGGCCACCAGCAAGATGCCTTGCAATGTGCTGCTGAAGTTGATTGTAATTCTGCACATGCATGCATGGACTCATCCCGCATCATGTGCTTGAACTCATCATCCGGGCCCTTCCGATACACAACCCTTCTCCCATCAGATGCCCCAGACGCAGGATGACTTTCATAGTAGCCACTTCCAGAGGAACCCTTCTGATACCAAATTGCAAAGAACCTGCCTGTGTGTGTCTCCATCCAATCAATACAACAACAGAGTAGTAGCTTCTGACTCGGGTATGCATGCCAGTACTGCCTAGTCTAGCCTATCTACCTCATTGCCCATGCCATTGAGCCCTGGTCCACGCCTGCTGATGACTGGTTGACGACCAGTACCCTGCTGGAGCTCTGCTTGCTGACCGCCAGGTTGTATCTACCAACCTTCTCCAACAACCTTCCTTACTGTCCCAAGGACCACCCCTGTTGGACCACCACTTCGAGTATACACCGCGCCCATTACAGCTATTGTGCCCATCTTCTTCTGCAACTTCTACTGCTATAGTGATGGCAACTGCACGGTCGTCTTTCTACTCCTTTTTACATGCATTGACTTAGCTGAAGCAGCCTGTTGGTGACCTGCCGTCAGAATGTTCCCTTGACTTGCGCGGCCTTGACTTTTACACACTAGCCCAGTCTTCTTTAGGCAGTTCAGTACTTCATATCGGAAGCTTCCGGAATCGGCCCACACCTAGCAGGTCCAGACAGTGTGACTAGGTTCCCCACAAGGCCTGTTTCTTGTTCACCCAGGACCTGAGGCCTAGTGGCACTTAACTGCCCGCTGCGCTGTGGCAGGGCCTCGCACAGCTCTGATACCAGAGTTAGAATCATGCAAGATTCAATCCGTTTCAACACGAATACACAGATGCTCAAACCAAATAGGTACTCACGCAAACATGATAGGATGTTTCAGAAACTTACTTCTACACAAGCAAAAACTTCATGATGTTGATGCAAAATTCTCTTTGCCCGGGGGACTGACCACCTAGACGAAGATATAACAAACGGGAGGGGAGGAGAGGGGGG